GCTTAGTGGGTGATGGGGGAGGTAATCTCAACCGTTCGATCGGATGTAGACGAATACAGAGTGTTGGATTTGATGGATGAAGTATGTAACATGTAAGAGTGAGTTGGTTAATTATAGGGTATAGATACGGTGAATTAAGAAAGTTTTATCTTAGGCCATGTTTAGTTCTCAAAATAAAAATTTTTACGTTGTTACATCGAATGTTTGGATACATGCATCGAGTATTAAATGTAGGAAAAAACCAATTACACAGATTGTATGTAAATTGCGAGACAAATCTTTTAAGCCTAATTGCGTCATGATTTGACAATATGGTGCTACAATAAATATGTGCTAATGATGGATTAATTAGGTTTAATAAATTCGTCTCGCAGTTTCCTGGCGGAATCTGTAATTTATTTTGTTATTAGACCATATTTAATACTTTAAATGTGTGTTCATAAATCCGACGTGATGTTCAGGGACAATTTTTTTTGTCAACTAAACAAGCCCTTGGTAAAATAGAAGTGTAGAAGATCAGTGACCGCCTGGCTGGCTGCCACGCTATATAATGACTCATGTGCCGGCCGGCTCGTCTCCACCGTCTCCCCGGCCGTTTCGTTCGATCAGAATTCAGACATGCAGCCGACCAGCGCCGCCGCAGGCCCCGTCCCGTTCAAGGACATCGCCGCCGTCGCCGTCGCACGGCGACCGGTTGCGGAGGAGTACGGCGACGTCGTGGCGGCGCTCCCGAGCAGGCTGTACCCGCCGCAGCAGCGGTGGCGCGAGTACCAGGGCGCCTGGTTCCGGGAGGCGTACGTGGGTCCCCGGGATCGTGGCGCTCCAGCGCCGCTTCGAGCCGCGCGCCGGCGACGTCCTCCTGGCGAGCCTGCCCAAGTGCGGCACCACGTGGCTCAAGGCCCTGGCCTTCGCCACGGCGGCGCGCGGCGTGTACCCGCCCGCCGCCGCCGGCGGTGATGGCCGGCACCCGCTGCTCCGGCTCAACCCACACGAGTGCGTCCCGTTCCTGGAGGGGATCTACTTGGACGAGGAGGAGGCCAAGCTCGACGCCGCGCCAACGCCGCGGCTGATGAGCACGCACGCGTCGTACCCAAACCTGCCGGCCTCCATCACCGAGGACGACCGCTGTAAAATCATCTACATCTGCAGGTAAGTGCTGATCAGGGGGGTGTTTAGATCTAGGGCATAAAGGTTTGGCGTGTCACATCGGGTATTATATTGGGGTGTTCGAACACTAATAAAAAAACTGATTACAGAATTCGTCGGTAAACCACGAGATAAATTTATTAAGCCTAATTAATCTGTAATTAGTAAATGTTTACTGTTCATTAATGTTCCAATTCAAAATTTCAGTAACCTTGCCATAAACAATGTTTCAAACAAGGTGAATTTGGCACATTCAGTTACTCACTCAGTTCATACACTGGTTAAAAAAAAGAAGGAAAAAGTACGAACTACCCCTGAACTATTGGTTGAGTATGAATTACCCCCTAAATATTAAAACCGGACGTTTTTCACCCTCAACTATCGATACCGGATGAAACCCCCCTCCCGAGCAGTTTTCCAAGTGGTTTTGGTCTACGTGACGGTCCAGTCAGCAATTTTTTAATTAAAAAACGAAGGGACCCACCTGTCAGATATCTCTCCACTCTCTCTTTCCCTTTCCTCTCTCTCTCAAATCATGGCGGTTGCGGCTCGAGCGCCGACGGCAGCGGACGGCTCCAGCGCCTCGACGAGCCGCGCGGCGATGGCTGCGGGCGCTTCCTCCGCCGCCGGAGCTCCGCCCGCTGCCCCCTCCACCTCCCTGAGCACCGCTGGCTGCAAGCATCCCCTCCGCTGCCTCAACGCGCCGCGCGCCGGTGGCTGTGGGCGCCCCTTCGCCGCCCCAAGCACTGCCCTCCGCCGTCCCCTCCTCCCACCACCCCGAGCCCCGCGCGCCGGCGGCTGTGGGCGCCCCTTCAATGCCAGACATGTTTATCTCCTGTACTATGCTTTGCCACTTTGCATCGGACAACCGGGTGAAATGAGCAAGAGAGCGATGAGCGATGAAAATGGTGAATTACATATTGCGCACCTGCAAATCTCACCGCAGAAAGCGGGGCAAATTACAGTTGAAAATTGATTCCCTAGCGGGAGATTCCAATCTTGTGAGCTCGACAAAACATGGCATGGCATGGCTGATTACTGATACTGATAGTACATCGATCCACCGATCAAGAGGGAAAAGAAAAGAAAAACAAACTTTAAAAGAGATCCCGACCTTGTCTTTCCAACCCAAAATCCTCCGCCAAAAAAACTGAAAGCAAAATTAGCTACGAACAAGAAAGAGTAGAGCCGCTCGTCGCGCGCTGCGCGCGCCTCCTCGCGCAGCCTGGCGATGTCAGCGGCCTCGACGTAGTAGAGCCGCTCGACGAAGCTCGCCTCCGCGGCTCGCCGTGAGCGGGTTCAACTCGTGCTCGTGGTCCCACGGCACGAACATCCCGTCGACGGCGGCGCTGTACCTCGGCGGGGAGTGGGGACGGCTCAGCACCGACCAGTCAAGGTTCAGGCCTCCGGCGAACGTCCCCGTGCGCGCGAACTCCGACCACGACTGGAGGAGCACCACCGCGATGTGGCCGTCGCCGAGGAGGTGGTTGCTAGCCCACACCACAGCGAAGCTGCCGGCAACCCACTCCGCCTCCGTCTCAGCCGCCCTCCGCCGCCGGCAGCGCCGCCTGCTCCCGCCCTCGCGCGGCCGCCGCCGTGCAGGTGAGAAGAGAGAGAGAGAGGGGGAGAGACTGGGATAGAGTAGAGAGAGATAGAGAGTGGTGGAGAACTGACAAAAGGGGCCCACTGATTTTTTTTATTTAAAAAGTGCTGATTGGACTGCCACGTGGATCCAAAACCGCTCCAAATTGAGTCGGGGGTTATTTGTCCGGTTTCAATAGTTCGGGGTGTAGAATGTCTGTTTTCAAGTTCGGGGGTATAATTCAGTCGACCTCGATAGTTGGGGGGGGTAATTTATACTTTTTCCAAAAAAAAAATCATTTTTACGGGTTGCCGGTAACCCGTTTATGCATGCATATGTGCACGTAGTTTCACTGAAAAGCAATCTATTAGGCTATATTCGGGAGGTGAAGGTGAGAACTCCATATAAAAAACGGATTGTTTCATTAACACACAATTAGTTAAGTATTAGCTTTTAAAAATAAATCAATATGATTTTTAAATCAATATGATTTTTAAAGCAACTTTCATATAATTTTTTTAAGAAAAAACATATCATTTAGCAATTTGAAAGCGTGCACGCGGAGAAGGGTGACGAGTTGACAACACAAGAAATAATAATTTTGATTTTAATACTACCTCCATCTCAAAATAAGTGCAGCCGTAGAAATCCGTGTCCAACGTTTGACCGTCCGTCTTATTTGAAAAATTTATGAGAAAATTAAAAAAAGTTAGTCACACATAAAGTACTATTTATGTTTTATCATATAATAACAATAAAAATATTAATCGTAAAAAAATTAATATTTATGTTGGACACGAAAACTCAGGGTTTGTCATTTTTTTTACGGAGGGAGTACACAAGTAGCAGCACGCCAGCACTAAGCCACCAACCAACCACCGGATTTCACTAAGAGCAGGTACAATAGCAGGCTATAAGCCAGCTATAAACATATTTTAAAGAGATAAAGAAAGAGAGAGAAGAGCAGCGGGCTACAGATCTGTAGCCAGCTGCAGCACGGACTCCAAGACGTAATGTGTGTATGACATGTGGGGCATGTATTAATAATGTAGTAAGCAACTATTGTATGAATTGATTATTACATTGGCTATAGATGATTTAGAGCTAGTAGTGGGCGATAATATTAAACTTGCTCTAAAATGGTAGTTCAACCGACACCCAAACACAAACATGCAGTGATTTACTCACAGCCTCACAGGGGAACAAAGGAAAAACTGCTTGGTGGTCTTGTGCCTACTGCTCGGAGGTGGAGGCGCTACTGTGGTGCTGGCCGCGGACCGCATAGACGGCTGCGCGCGGAGGCGTTGTTCTGGGGACGGCGGCCCCAGCATCCCCTAGCCCCTGACGCCAGCGGCGGAGGAGGATATGCGCCGGCTGCGCCGCGGGACGGTGGGGTTGGAGGCGCAGTGCCCTCCGGCGAAGGAGGCGTTGCGGCTGCACAGACGGCGGTGCTGCGCCCGACGATGGCGACGGCAAAGACGATGCGGGGAGACCGGGAGTGAGTCATGTGAAAATATGGGCGTATCAATACGAATCAGCAAAGTATCCGTAATTCTTTCATTTGTTTGAAAATCGAGAAAATGTCAGATACGTACGGGATGCATATCGGAGCGTGTATCCGTTGGCGTATCCGATACAGATACGCGACACTCAGCGACGTATCGGGGTAACATAGCTTGGAAATGGTAACCTAACAAAAGGCAAGAAAATACGGAAACGAAAATGATTTTGATGTTCTACTTGCCATTTTCTTATTTACCATATTTGCACGAAAATTATAGTTTTTATAATACTGTAATTAATTACCATATTTCTAAATACCATGTCTCTATTTTACTAGAGGCCCATCAACTTTTCAACCCAATTCCTAATTTGAGTACATGCCTAAAGAAGAGATGGTTTGTGATTTACGTAGTGTAAGTTTGAATTTCTTTTTTTTAGAATAGTGTAAGTTTGAATTCACGTGGTCATATTATATAATCATGTCAAGTTAAATATGTGATTTCAGATTATTGTTTCAGATATTACATAGTCATGTTTCCGATCGATACATGCATTTTTTTCCATATCTTTTTATTTTCAATTTTCCGTATTTCCAATACCATTTTTATATCCGCCTCTGCCTTTTTTTACTTTGTTTTCTAAGAAAATATGGTTATTAAAATCATTGGGACTATTTTTTTTATGGTTTCCAACCATTTCGTCCCAAAGCATAGTCTTAATGGTTATGGTCTTCTTCTTGTTATATTATTAATTGCAGGCAACCGAAAGACATGGCAATTTCTTTATGGCATTTCATGAACTGTTCTAAGGCTAAGACCTCATCATTATCTGATGATCAGTGGGAGTCCATCACCATGTCATTATCTGATGTGTGGGAGTCCATCCGTGAGGGTGCATACTTGGGAGGCCCAATCTGGGAGCATATCCTTGGGTATTGGAACACGAGTAAGGCAAAGCCGGACAAGGTGCTATTCCTAAAGTACGAGGAGGTTCTACGCGATCCTACGAAGAACATCGAGAAAATCACGGAATTCATCGGCCAGCCATTCTCTGACGCCGAGAAGGAAGCCGGGATCGTTGAGAGCATCATCGAGCTTTGCAGTTTTGAGAAGATGAAGGCTTCGGGTGCCAACAGCACAGGCTCCCTACATATGATGGCCAATGAGTACCCACATGAGTCTTTCTTTAGGAAGGGAGTCATCGGAGATTGGGTGAACCACGTCACGCCAGAGATGGCCGATAGTCTTGATAAGTTTCTCTCGGCCAAGTTTTATGGATCAGGGTTTACTTTTGCGGAGTGATGCATTTGGAATTTCATTTTGTGTATGTTTAGCCTCCGATCCGAACACTTGATGTGTATGTGTTCAGTTACTTTTATCGTTAAATGTTTGGTGCAGGCATGCGCATGTCTCAATGCTCTATGTTACGTACTCCCTCCGTCCAAAAATATAAGTGATTTTAGGTGGATATGACACAAAGTACTAGGATATGTCACATCCAACCAAAATCCCTTATATTTTAGGACGAAGGGAGTATTAAGTTTTACCTCCGATGAGGAAAACAGGCAGCTGATACGCCCACTTGAATAGTAAACTATACAGTGTAAACCATGTACCGTGAAAACCTAAAATTATCGTATGAAGAAAAAGATGAACGTATGAGATTTTGTTCACGTCATTATAAGTAAAACTTTTACTTGCATATGCAACCTTAAGGGAAAATTTGGTGACATCAATAAATATCATATGTTTATTTCTTAATCTTGTGACACCCCTCACTTCAATATATAAACATATTTGGGATGTGGATTTTCATCTCACGAGGGGATATCCCCTCGTTGCTTGCATGCCATCTAAATATTTATCAAAAAAAAGTTTAAAAAAATTGACAATATAAATTAATATGAAATATATCAGTCCACGAGCATGTAAGGCCAAATTCGATTTCTGCCAGTTGCAAAAAAGAACAAATTAATTTGAAAATAGTTCTCGTACATTCGTAGTTATTTTTGCTACAATTTGTAAATGTTGAATTTTAACATACATGTTTGTGGAGTGATATATTTCATAATAATCTATCTTGTGATTTTTTTAATTTTTTCATAACTATTTAGATAACACGCACAAAACGAGAGATATCTCCTCGAGGGATGAAAACACTTTCCCACATATTTGGTCATATATATGTGTACAAGCAAGTCCAGTCTTGCTAGCTACTTACTGTTTGTATACTAGTTGACATCCTGAGAGTCTCCTGCGTCTAGTGTGCTCTTGCGCTTCTTAGGGCGTCCGCAATGTGGATGAAAAGTGGGTAGTAAGACCCCCTTACTATCTACTTTACTATTGTAGGGGTGGGTAGTAGAGGAGGTAGTAATTATACCAGGCAATAGCACTACTATCTAGTAATAAGAGCATAAAAAATATTAAACTCTCCCATCTCTCACTTTCTCTCTCATTTCTAGCCAATAGTTGCTTTACACATCAGTCATATCTTACTACCCGCACATGCATGCAGTATAAATATAGATAAAAAAAAAACTAATTGCACAGTTTGCATGGAAATCACGAAACGAATCTTTTGAGCCTAATTAGTTCATGATTAGCCATAAATGCTACAGTACCCACATGTACTAATGACGGATTAATTAGGCTCAATAAATTCATCTCGCAGTTTCCAGGCAAGTTATGAAATTAGTTTTTTCATTCATGTAAAAAAAATCTCTTCCGATATCCGGTCAAACGTATGATGTAACACCCAAAAAATTTTATTTTCGCAAATTAACACACCCATAGCCTCAGAAAAAACACACAAATGTTTAGTTCCACGCCAAAATTGAAAATTTGACTAAAATTGGAAGTTTGAAGAAAAAAATTGAAAGTTTATGTGTGTAGAAAAGTTTTGATGTGATAGAAAAGTTGAAAGTTTTTTTAAAAAGTCGGGAACTAGACCGGGCCAAAAAAAAATCTGTGAGGGGGCAGCCGTAACAGTAGTGCATCATCTGTCGTCCTTTCTTTGACCAAGGTCGAGTTTATTTCTAAACTTTTTTTTAAAACTTCTAACAGTTTTATCACATCAAAACTTTTTTACACACATAAATTTTTAATTTTTCGATCATAACGTTTCAATTTCAACTAAACTTCTAATTTTAATGTGAACTAGTGAACTAAACATACTAGTACTACTGTAGTGTCGTGCAAGCAAAGGTACCCATGTTTTCTTTATCTTTATCCAACCCCACACAGATGTATCAATTTCATTAAATATAACACGAAAAAACTGAACGAGTGAAGCCCTATATAGGTTTAAAATAAAAAAAAAGGAGGGCTATAAGGCATTATACCCACCTAATGCTTTTACTCCTACAATGATTCAAGTCTTCGCCTTCTAATTTTTACGATAAGCCTTGTTGTTAGAAGTTCTTTGTGTCTAAACACTCACTAATTTCATTTCTTCCAGATATCACATGATGTCAGGAAGATAAGATTGTGCAAGGTTTTCTTTAGCACCTACTACCGTGTAGCCTAGATCTGATCACTGCTCGTGGACCACTTGTATTAATCATCGTCGTACGTTCGTCGTCCCGTTTATTTGAGAGAGTACTGAGACATGTTTTGGTCTTCTTATTATCATGATGTGCACTGAAACTGATCTCCTACTAACCCGCGAGACAACTAAACAAGGCATATCTACTCCCTCCGGATTAATAATACTTGACGTTTTAGATAAGAACACGGTATCAAAAACAAGTTTAACCATTATTTTTCATTATAATATGTATAAATTTGTTAACAAATATATAATTTTATTAAAGTACTTTTTAAGACTAATCTATACATGTAATCACCATATTTGAAAGACAAATATTTTAAAAATGATTTATAATCAAAGATTCTAAAGTTTGACCTTCAAACCTTGTTTAAAACGGCAAGTATTATCAGCCCGGAGGGAGTATTGAATCACACCACCCACAAAATAAGAGTTCCATGTGTCATCACAACCATCCAATAGAAATTAAATATCAATGGTTATCATTTATCATTTTATCAACTCAACTTTATTGACCACTTAGCATAGTGTGCTAAAAAAATCACTACAAGAAGTATTTCATTTTTGTATGTGAGGTGTTTTTATAGGTACATAATATTTCTCATGTCTATACATTGAAATTTTATAGCTGCATTGCACAAAATGATCTGCAGATCAAATAATTTCACTGATTCAATAGGCATGTTCACTACTCAGAGTTCTCCATGCGCAATACAGAATACTAAAACAGTATAATACATATATTAGTAGTTATTGGACAGCTGCAAGGCAAAATTGGAAAAAAAATATGTAGTTAGCAATCAAATACAATGAATGCATCAAGTGAAAAAAAAAGATATTTTTTTCAATTATCTAAAAAAACAATGTATGCATCAAGCGAAAAAAGATATAATGTATGCATACCGTGAAAAGAAATTTGCCCCAACAATTCAACATCATAGCTACTAAATCCAGCAATAAATATGTAAAGAATATGATAAATTAATCCTGTGAAGAAAATGAAGGGAGTGAATAATCGCGGGAGCAAATACGTATGTGCGGAGAAAAAAAAAAGAGGAGCGAGCTAGATGGGGATACTTAATTCTGTTCGAAATTGATAGCTTAATTGCGAAGAGATTAGTTTGCTGCTCAGACTACGCCAATCAATGTTGCTTAGAAAGAGAAACTTATCTGGATTAGGGATGAACCCAGAACAATAGAGATCAACATGAAGTGAAAAAACCTCCCTGTTGGCCCAGCAGATGGATCCAATAACATGCGTGCTCAGATGGGCACCACACTGGCGGAGAAACTGTCTTTACTCCCGATTTGTAAACCCCCTATACTCCCCCCTGTAGTCCCAGTTTTCTAACCGGGACTATGAATCTAGGACTAAAGATCGGTGAAATAACCGGGAGTAAAGATCAATCTTTAGTCCCGGTTGTTGTTACCAACCGGGACTAAAGAGAGGCATCTTTAGTTCTGGTTGGTGTTATCAACTGGGACTAAGGAGAGGATAGGGACAGTCCCGGATGGTCCCCTTTTATTTTTTTTGTTACTTTTTTATTTTCTCCCGAATCGGATGGCATGCACATCCCAAATCAAACACCAAATCCCCAAATCAAAGTAACATCCTAAATCCGCATCACAAATCTTAAAGTCACTTATACACACCAATATAATACATCACAAATCCTAAAAAATTTACACACAAATCAAATATAACACAGATTATACATCTTAAATCCATACAATGAATCACAAAATTATACATCTCAGTGAATCACAAAATATCAAAAAAAAAAAGAGAGAAAACAAGCTGTCGGATGTGCTACTACTCAAGAAATCAATCACAAAATATGAATCCCACTACTGCCGGCTGCCGCTATCGTTACTACTGCGCGCATGTGCTTCCCCTGCAAAGCACGTCTGCGCCGCACGCCGCGCGTCCGTCCGTCCACCGCGTCCGCACGGCGCGGCCTCCTCTATCTCCAGGTGAGAGAGGAGGAAGGGGAGGGGAAGGAAGGAGAAAGGGAAGGATCTGTGTAAGATCCATCTCCAGGTGAGGGAGGAGGAAGGGGAGGGGAATGAAGGAGGAAGGGGAGGATCTGTATAAGATAGGAGAAGGGAGGAGGGGTAGAAGAGAGGAGGATCGATATGTGGGTGAGGTAGTGGTTGCGAGTAGAGGAGAGGATAAGGACTATAGATTATATACTACGTGTTTAATTTTACTCCCGGTTGGTAATACCAACCGGGACTAAAGATCTAAATGATCTTTACTCCCGGTTGGTAACCGGGACTAAAGTGGTAATCTTTAGTCCCGGTTGGTAGTATGAACCGGGACTAAAGATCCTCGGCCTCCTGACATGCCTCTGACAGGGGATGAATCGGGACCAAAAATCATCTTTAGTCCCGGTTGGTAATACCAACAGGGACTAAAGATCAAAATTTTTTTAACTGGGACTAAAAAATCGTATTTAGTCCCAGTTTTAAATGGAACCTGGACTATTGTCGAATTTGGTCGACCGACCAAAGATGATTTCTCCACCAGTGACAGCACCAAGGTTTGCACTGCTTTTCGTCCTGCATCATCATTAGCAGCAAACAGCAACATGTGTGTGACATGTATGAGAGGATGGGATGAGGAGGCGACAAACAAATTAATAGAAGCATCGGCTATTTGGAAACGAAGATGAACAGACGGGTGGCAGCGTGGCGGCGTAGGGGGTGGGGCGTCTGGGGAAGGAGAAGCGGCAAGGCGCAGCTGGCGCGCGCGGGGGATGGGGAGGCAACGCGGCGCTGGGAGAAGCGAT